AGGATCGCGGTTCAAAGCCAGCCCGGGCAGCAGAGACCGTGAGACTCCTATCTCCAATAAACCACCAGAAAACCGGAAGTGGCGCTGTAGCTCAAGTAAGGGCTGGGGGGCAGCGCCCAGGCCCAGAGTTCAGGCTCCACGACCGACAAAAAAAAAAAAAACACACACAAAGAAAGTTGCAGAATGCACTGGTGAGATCTGTCGCGCCAAAGTCAGGGCTCTGAACCTGAGTCTTGATACATGGACATGAGCTAGGACATGTGAGTGGATACTTCTGAAGATTTTCACTGCTGAACCCTCATTGCCTGCAGAAGTAGCCTTCCTCCTTAAAAGCCAATGTACAGAAGAAAAAGGGGGGAAAAAAAGCCAATGTATTCTTGTCCCTTCTCTTAGAATATTTAACTAGAAAACAGCCTACTAGAGGCCACTTGTTAGGCTTCCCTAGTAAGGTAATAGGGCTGGGCCTTCAAGAACTGCCCTGCTTCCTCCCCTCCCTGCAGCCAGTCTGATAAAAAGGCTTTAGCTACTTCACAGACCAGACAGGGAGAAAAGGAGATGCGGCAATAGGCAAGAGCCAAAAGATGCTTGTAGGACTAGATTTTAAGGATTATTTTTTAAGGTGCCATTAGAAGATTGGTCAAAAGTGGAGATTGGTATGAGTTTCTACCTTGTAATTCAAGATTTGATCTTTTGCCAAAGCCTCTTAAATGATGCAGACTCACTTGTGGCTTACACAAGTATAGAAAAAAGTATCCCAAACTGAGCTAACTCCATTGTAGCAGGTAGTGGAAGAAGAAATTAAAAGGCTTAGGGAAATAGGTCTGCTAGTTTGCTACAGTGTAGAATATTAGAATGCTACAATGTGTATACATGCAATATTTTAGGATTTCTAGTTCCAGGAGTTAAGTAGGAAGAAAAGGAAAAAGGAGACACATTTCCTGTTCCCCCGTGCAGAAAATGGGAGTTACTGATTCAAAACTTCCTGGAGGGGTAGCTCCCTAGTAGGGCTCCATGTTTATATCCTTAATTCTTCCTGAACTGGAAATTTTTCCTCATTGCCAGATTGAGGTTCCCTGTATGAAATTACTGATTGGGAGAAAGAGGAAGTGACAGGCTGAGAATTAGTGTACTAAAATCCCTATTAGCCAATTTTTTTTTGGGGGGGGTCCGGTCATGGGCCTAAACTTTGGGCCTGGGGCGCTGTCCCTCAGCTCTTCAGCTGAAGGCTAGCACTCTACCACTTGAGCCACAGCGCCACTTCTGGCTTTTTTCCTTTTTGTTTATGTGGTGCTGGGGAATTGAACCCAGGGCCTCATGCATGCAAGGCAAGTGCTCTACCACGGAGCCACCTTCCCAGCCCCCTATTAGCCAATTTTAAGCAAGTAAGAGATTTACATGAAGGCAGTCCCTGAGCTTACCTTGGCATCCTTTTTTTTTTTTTTAAGTTTAATTTTGTCTGCTCTGTAGGTAATCAACTTTCCAGGATCTCAAAAACATTGTTCAGGTCACTATTGGTATGTTAGAGACATTTTCCATGAGTTCGATTTTAAAATGACAAAACCCTTAGAACAGAAGACTATTTTAGCTCATAGTTTCAAGCTAAATAAACAAAGAAGAAAGGAGGAAAAAAATTCCACATTCCTTTCCTTAATGCAGTCCCTATAATCTTTAGCCTTTAATTTTAGTCAGTCGTGGGGCTTGAACTCAGGGATTAGGCACTGTCCCTGGGGCTCTTCAGCTCGAGGAGAGTGCTCTACCACTTGAGCCACAGGGCCACTTCGGGTTTTCTGGTGGTTTATTGGAAATAAGAGTCTTACAGATTTTCCTGCCGGGCCTGGCTTTGAACCATTATCCTCAGATCTCAGCCTCCTGAGTAGCTAGGATTATAGGTGTGAGCCATCAGCACCCGGCTTTAGCCTTTAACTTGAGACATCAGAATTCTTATCACAGGCAACTCAAACTATGAGGAATCAGGTGAAAGCAGTAGTGGTGCTCTAAGCCATCTGCCAGTCAATCACCAGGCTACAGACATGTCACATCTGTTAACCTGTGTCTGGATAATCACCTAGGAAGAGTGATTGAAGTGAAGAAGACCACGTGGATCACTTCTTCTAGAGCAATCTTCAGCCCTTTAGGTTTTGTTCAGCCAATGTTGCACAATGTTAAGCTTCTCCATGTGGGAATGTATACAAGCAAAAGAGCCTCTATTTGCCAATGGGAGTAACCTTTACAGAATGCCAGAACTGACACCAACCAGCTTGAAGTCACTCTCCAAGTTGGATTCATTAAATTAGGAAGACTTTGGCCCAGATAGCTCACCACCAGTTTAAAGGGTACCAGACTAGTCTGTTAGCTTGAGAACCTCAGAGCTGCTACACAAGATTATTACAGCACTATCTTTGGCCTACCTCCCTTTCTTGTATCTTGGCCTGTTTTTCCAGCTTGTAATTCTTGAATTTTTTTGATAATTTTGTCAAAATAATTTGATATTCTAGAATCAGAGACTCTATAGAGCCTAGGTTAATAGTTTTGTGATAACATACTTTTTTTTTGCTTGCTTGTTTTTGTTTTGCTTTTTGTTCTTTGCCAGTCCTGGGGATTGAACTCAGGCCTGGATGCTGTCCCTGAGCTTCTTTTACTTAAAGCTAGTGCTCTACCACTTGAGCCACAGCTCCACTTTCAGCTTTTTCTGTTTATGTGGTACTGAAGAATGGAACCCAGGGCTTCATGCATGCTAGGCAAGCACTTTACCATTAAGCCATATTTCCAGCCCCATACTGTTTTTGGATTCTGCTCTATCTTGTATTCCTTCCATCTGTCATTCTACGTGTGTGTGTATGTGTGTATATACACATGTGTGTATATATGTTTTTTATTTTTTGCAGAAATTCACCATTTCCCTGTCATTCCATACATGTGTACATGTGTGTACACATATACACGTGTGTATGCATATATTTTTATTTTTTGCAGAACTTCATCATGGTTAGACTGGTCTTGAACTCACAATCCTGCCTCAGCCTCCCAAGTAACTGGAATTGTAGTCATATACCACTCCACCCACCTTTATTATTTTATGTCTTTCATATATATGCCCATGGACACCCACCAACTTCTTTTGAGCTCTAAATCTATCAGTTCTTCCCATTCCCATTTTATCTCAACATGACTGTGTACCCTCAGCTTCTCAGGACTTTGGAGGTAAGGAATTTTGGAGATTTAACAAGTTCTGCAAATCATTCTGGTACCAGTAAAAAGGTAGCCCTTCAACTTCAGGCATCAACTAAATGGATGAATTAAAACATTTTCTTTCATAAACAGTTGGTGTCGTACTATAAATAAAAATGCAGCTGGGTGCTAGTGGCTCATACCTATAATCATAATTACTCAGGAGGCTGAGATCTGAGGATCCCGATTTGAAGCCAGTCCCAGCCGTACACAAAACTCTTATCTCCTTAATCACCAAAAGCCAAAATTAGGGCTGTGGCTGAAGTGGTAGAGCACTAGCCATGAGCATAAAAGCTTAGGGATGGTGCCCAGGGCCTGAATTCAAGCCCCAGGACTGGCAACAAAACAAAACAAAAACCAGCAAATCTAGATCCAAAGTGCCAAGGTCATAACTGCCTGTTTGTTTGCCCTCCTCATAGTTGCACCCACCCACCACAGAGATTATAAACTTACAGCTGTTTTGCCCCTGAGAGGTAGAGGCCTGGCTCAAGTAGTACAGTGCCAGCTGTTGTGAATGAAAGCTTTGAGGAAGGAGGAAAGATGAGAGATGGAAGAAATGGCCACACAGCATCAAATCTTTACGACTTTGGGAAACAGTTTTTCTAACAGGTTTGGGCCAAAGTCCAAGTCTGGGCCCAAGGTTAAGTGTCTTTCAGTGTATCAATCCCAGGCTTAGCTCTGCTTTAAAAACAAAGTTTTTGCCCTCTTATGTAACTTACAAAATACCTTTAGACCTAATTGTTAACACCTCTCCAAAGTCTCCTGCGTAAAGGAGGTCTGTTGAATTCTAGCCTTTTTTCTTTAAAAAACCCAAGACATGAGCCGGGCGCTGGTGGCTCACGCCTGTAATCCTAGCTACCCAGGAGGCTGAGATCTGAGGATCGCGGTTCAAAGCCAGCCCGGGCAGCAGAGACCG